CCTCTTGATGAAGCCTGATGGAGGACAGCTGGTCTGTATAATGAGCCAGAGGGGAAGAGGAAACTGTGGCAGAGGTTGAAGAAAACAGGAGATCTCTGACCCTGGGGGGGATGGGTTTGGGCCCGGAAGCCAGAGGGCTAAAGAAAGCTGAGAGCTGGGGAGTGGGAGGGGTTTCCCTGCTGGCCTCCCAAAGCCGGAGAATAGACTGTCCCTCCGGGGAAGAAAGGGATTGAGGGCTGGGGAGTTCCTGCTGGGAGAGCGGGGGGGGACTCCAGCGAGAAGGGGCTGCGCACTGAGTAGCAGGCTAATCGTGAGGAGGAGCCTCCAGCCTGACAGAAGATGCCAGGGATGAATGCGTGGGGCTGACAGGGGGCGTGGAGAACGCTTTGAGTTGTTTGTTTATAAACCCAGCCCCAAAGGAGTGGCATTACTGGCCGCAAGAGAGCCCCCCGGTGCAGTTACTGATGTATGGAGCCCCAACGTGGAGAAACTGAGGCAGGGTGCTTGCTCCTCTGGCCACAAGGGGGTGCTCAGGAGGTGGCTGCCTTGTAGCAATGGGCATCACTACATCCGAGCTATGCCGAGTAACTGCTGAGGAGACTCTGACCCTGGTAGCACAGGAAGCCTCGTCTTTGCTTGGCATTAAGGCAGTGTATTGTTTATGCTTCCTTCTCCCCCAGCCTCCCTTTCGGTTGTCACTCAGCTCCCCGGAGTCTCTGGAGCAAGGGGCAGCTCCTTCAGCTTGATCACACAGGGTGAAATTCACTCTAGCCACATAAAGCCCAACTCTCCCAGCTCCATGCAGGCAGAAAAGCTGCAGCCGTGAGAACCATCCCCAACCAGGCCCCGGGTGTGGTGCATCTCTGCAGCCCCCACCCCAGCCAGTTCCACTGGGTGCTTGGCCACTGGATCTGCCTTCAAGCGGATTTGATCCCCTGGCCCGCCCCACTGCAGCCTTCCACATTGGGCAGAATTCAGATCCCCGCAATAGCAGCAGGAGACTCCTCTGGAGTGGGAAGAGGCAAGGGCAAGGGCAAGCTATGGCCCCCCGCCTGGCTCCCTCAGGCAGGCTGGCTGAGAGCTTATGCTGGGCTACATCTTAGCCCTGTGGCACCAACCACGCTGCATCGGTGAGATCTGACCGTGACTGCACTCAGGCAGTGTCTGCACATACTGTAATCACTACGCAAACACCCATTTTACTAATCAGCTATAGATTTCTACACACTCCAGCCTTAAGTGCCATTAATTATATCACACACTCAACAGCCTCTAAGCACCATCAATTAGAAATCAGGAACTCAGTGTCCCCGGGAAACCATTATGACCTAAGAGAGTGAACCTTAAGCTCCAAAGGAGATAGGTTTCATGAAGGTCACCTTGAGAAACAGCATCATAAGAATCCGTCAATAGACAAGAATGTTCCCAGGGTGTATTTGACATTATTTTGACTAGCTGGAAAGGTTGAAGAGAAGAATGTGTCATATTACAGGGTCTATTCTTCCCCCAAAATTAGTTTTCCTGCAATAAGAAACAAGTAAATATAAAGTAATCCTTTTTCATTTCAACGGAATGCAAGGAAAAGTTAATATCACCAGAAGCTTCCTGAACAAACACAACCTGGTCTGTGAGAGTGTCATCTGAAGTGTAAAAACTTCTTAAAATATCTCTCACATGGAAGATGTAGCTATAAGAGCAATGCAATTACAGTGGCTACTAATGAACCATGTAATGCATAAGGGAAAAGGTTTCCCCATAAGTGTGATGTGTTAATGTATAATGTGCCTACTGCAAAATGAATGTTGATTCTTGTTCTAGTCTGGGTGTGTCAGAGTCATTTTTTCCCTTGCAGCCCAGTGAAAATGAAGACTCGGGGGAGGGCAGGCTGAGTGAAATTCATCCCAGTGCAGGGGGGCACCTGAAAGCCTACGTACCCCATCAGTCCTCATTTGAGGATTTAAGGGGTGCACTGACCTAGTGCTGTCTCTGCACAGGGATGAACATCAAAGGGAACTCTCGGCTTCCCTTTCCCTGGTGTTAGCAAAATTTACTCAGCTTTGTAGAGTACCTTGAGCGCCACAGATCAGCACCTAGGTCCTGTGGTTATAGCTGCAGTAGAAGCATCAGCCAGAGAGGCTGTATAAAGTATTACTTTTTTTAGTGTTAATAGTGCAAACTCAGAAGGGTCAGATGTTCTGTTCACACAAAAGCTTGAATCCCAAATATCAACAGCCAGATATGTTGATCTGGTTTTGTGCTTGATTAATCAGTGGGGGAGAGGGAGAGGGCACAACTTAGGGAGCAGAGCGTCCCGGGATCTCGAAGAGAACAGAAGGAGAGGTGTAGGGCAATGGTGACGTTTCAGAGAAGACTGATGAAAAGAGGAGTCAAGGGCTTTCAGATCTGAAATGGAGCTAGGGTGACCAGACGGCAAATGTAAAAAATCAGGATGGGGGTGGGGAGTAATAGGAACCTGTATAAGAAAAAGACCTCAAAAATCAGGACTGTCCCTATAAAATCGGGACATCTGGTCAGCCTGAATGGAGCTGGGCTCTGATTCCTGCAAACTCATCCAGGGTGTGAGTTACAAGATACACTGACGAAGCAGGGAGGCCCTGTTTAAAGCAGATTCACAAGTAACTTACAGGCTGCCATACAATGGAGACGTTAGCACTCAAGATGCCACGAAACGGGGAAACACATGTTTCAGGGAGAAGAGGCAACCAAACAATGATGTGGGCAGGTGGTAAGACACCAAGCAAAACAGCACACCTAGTGCTCAACTACTAGCCAAGTGCTGTTACTGTACTGTTGTGGGCATAACATGAGAGAGAGATTCAAAGCAGCAATCTGAATATGATCTTGTAGCTGACGTGCTCCCGTATGTGAGTTTCAATAGCCAAGCTGTGGCGACGGCAAGGTAGAAATAGCCGTTCAAGGGAGTAGATATGTGAAAAGGGAGCGATGTTGGACACATTGTACAATTTGTCCTTCCCATTTGTCCCTCGACAGTCACCGGAACACTTTGGTACCCATGGCCACTAGTGTGTATCAGGATGGGAGGTATTGTGTCCTCGCTGTGCACATGCAGCTTCTCTCACGATTGCAGATCGAGGACACACAATGTCCCTTTGAGTCATGCTACATATAGCACAGTAAAGGGGTGATGAAAGGGACTTTTCCTGCAAAGAACTCAAGGGTAAACTGCCTTTGATCTTTCTTTTGAGGGTGAAATTCTCTGCTTCAGGGCTGGCCCACGGCTGGGGTATGGATCCATAGGGCACCTTGAAAGTTTCTGGGAGCGGGGGCTCCATCCAGAAGCAGGAGCAGTGAAAGCTTTCTAAAAGCAGGAGGGCCACTGGTGCCCAAAGTGTGGCCCCACCTCCCATGTCACCACTTCCCCCTGAGCCCCCATCCTTGCACTGCCCCTTCCCCCGAGACCCCTCCCCAGCACTGCCCCTTCCCCCGAGACCCCTCCCCCGCACCACCTCTTCCCCCAAAGCCCCGCACGTACGCTGCCTCTTCCCCCAAGGCCCTGCCCCTGCACCGCCCCTTCCCCCAAGGCCCTGCCCCCACGCTGCCTCTTCCCCCACCAAGACCATGTCCCCTGCTCGCTCCTCTCAACCCCGCCCCACCAGATCCTTGCACCCACATGGAGCCCCACTGACTTCACTAGGACGTCCCATGAATGCCGCAGCTTGCAGAATCAAGACTTCTAATGGCACAGAAGGGACTATGATTGTAAAGTGCATTTACAGGAAGCTCTCCAGGAGGCTGGATGGCCCAATGGCTAGGGTAGAGGGCTGACAGGAAAGAGGGGTTCTAGGCCAAGCGCTGCCCGTGGCCTACTCTTGGCCAAATCATTTGGAGCTAGATTCACAAAAGATGCCAAATCTCAGCATCAGGCCCCCCTGCAAGGCACAAAATCCCCCCTCAGGTGCTCTGAGCTCTCTTACCAGGTTGGGCTCTGTGGATGAGCTCACACCAAACAGCTGGGCTTTGGGGAGGAGGAGAACATCCCTCATAAACAGCGCTTTTAGCTCCGTGGTTCGTGTACTCAGCAGGAATGCGGAAGACCCCTGGTTCAAAGCCCCCTGAAGGGGAGAAGGGATTTGAACGGGAGTCTGCCACCACTCACAAGGCCCGTGGCCTAGTCTGATGCAGGGGTCACCCAGCCTCTCCTGGTGAAGCTCTTGCACCATGAATAAATAATTCACAGCCCACTGGGCCAGAGAGAGAGCAAGCATGGGACTGACGCTGTAGCTGGGTGGTTAGAGCATTCACCCAGGAGACAGATCCGTTGCTTCTGAGAAATAATCCCCCCTGCCCCGATTTAGGCCCCAACTCCCTTGCCTTGGCATCTCCCATAGGCAAGCCCAGATGGGGAGCCGCCTAGCATGCTGGCTTTTGTGACTCCTGTTCTGAGGCACCTCTCTCTCCCCATTCATCGTCTAGAGAGTCGAGACAGCTAATCCAGGCTTCGTGAATTGCTGTGATTTTGTATCTACCTAAAAGTAAGGTGTGGTGACACTCAGCATGGCCATGCCTGAATTCCCTTCCGAATCTAGCCTTTCCTCACTCTGTGGCTTAGTTTCCCTTCTGTAAAATAAACATAATGCCACTAATCTCCTTTGCAAAGTTCTTTGAGATCCATGTCTGAAAAGGTGTTATCACTATTGGCACATGGGCTTGATCTGTATAATATAAATAGATTCCATCTAACTGGAATATTGAAATGACTTGCTATAACCACTGTACAGTTATGGTTCTCCTCTCCAAATACTAGCTGCTGCCATATGAACTGGAATATGCGCTAGCTGGCTTTAACCCTGAATATTTCATTTCCTCTATCATAATCACTGGTTCCCTTTGCACAGTGCTAATCAGCATCTAGCCAATTAACAATAAACAAACTCATTTTATCTTACTAATACAGATCAAATATGTTATGGCTTTTAGCTTAATGTCTAGTGGAGCTTTTAATGGTCACTATTTTTCAGGTGAGACAATCTGGAACAAATCCTGGAGCATAAGAAAACCAAAAAAGGGACTAATTCGCCAGTGCTCTGTGACATTGGACCTGCAGCTAACCAGCTTAGATGACATTCTACAAACAATGGCTTCATCCATGAAACACTTTATTGTACCGTTGGATATCGGCGGGGTTGACTTTCACCTAAGACGACTGACAGACTGGATTCAACACAAGCTTTTGCATAATGGCTCAGATTTTTGAATGATGTACTTGGGAGTGAATCTTTTAAAATTGGCCCTGGGCCTAAACTGAAATTAAACTAGCAGCAATATTTGTCTGGTGTGTTACATTACATTTATCTGGATACATTACAAAACATTGGCTCCATGTTGTGCCTAACAATATTCTGTTTGTAATGTATTGTAGCGCAGAAAAATTACATCTTTTAGTACTAGTGTGCTTCTCAGAAACCAAAGCTTTGTTATAGCCTGGATACGATAAGCCTGGAGAGCTACCATTCTGCTAGATAAGATTATTGAATAAGAAATGCATAAACTTTCTTAAGATCATACATTCCTCTCTTACTTTTAATGTATTGGCACAAAGCTGTAGGGGCTTAAAATAGTGCAATACACTTTAGGGAATTAATCAAAATGTGAAGCTGCTCATGTGATATTCAGCACGTTACGGCCTATGATGTAAGGGTTGTTGCTTGCAACAAAACATGTTAACTTTGGTTGGTTGTTATTCACTTGATGTTCTCGCTCCGTAATAAGATCATCTGCAGAGCTGCTCTGAGGCGACTCTGCAGTCATTTAGCTATTTATTGCCAGTGCATCACAGAGAATATGTGGCTGAAATGAAGGCAAATGGACATCTAATATACTGACAAGAGCCCTGAACTGAAGCACAGTGGTGGCACTCTTGAACTTCGGGGAAGTTTGGACCCCGATCCCAACCTGAGTTTGGCAGCTCAGGTCTACAGTTGTCACTAGAAGAAGGCAGCTTTTGTCATCCCTTGCCACACAGTGGTATGTGGGACAACAGTGTTCTTAATGCAGAATGGGAGAGAACGGCAGTAGCTCAGATACTCTGCGGTCGCTGCTTTAAACCACGGCAACTTGTACAGCATCTTTGCAATGGGGTTGACATGGGCCATCAGCCATGAATATACCAGAACTTCAGAGAAGTTCGGCGTCAGATCCGAATCAGGATTCAGATGCCACCAGATTGACCCGACACTACATCAAACAAAATGAAACATGCCAGAAATGTGTAAATAAATAATCCTTCTGGGAGTGTCACGGAAGCCCAGTCTGATTTGAGACTTAGTGAAAATGCCCAGGGTATACACAGTGCTTGGGCCAAAGTCTGGCCAGGACCAGGGATAAATTTGGCCCATTGACTTAGAAACTCTGCTGAGCAAATTCAGAGAGTAACATCAGGAGCGAAGCAAAGGCATTTGGCTAGAGTTAGGCTTGGCAGAATTCATTTTTTTATACTTGTGTCAGATAATAGCAATGTTTCTGTGTAAGTATTTTTCTGATTATTATCGATTAAAATTTTCCCAGTTACACAGAATTATGGGGTTTTATGCATTTTTCCAGTATTTATCAATTTACATTTCACAGTTGCAGGAAATGCTGGGGGAGGAAGCCAGACAGTTATTTAATGACAGGAGAGGTTGAGATTCAAACGGTTAAAACTTTATAACCATCAACATCACATGTCAAAGTGTACAAAGTAAATATCCTCAAATCAAATTCTCAAGCAGCATTTCTCTTACTTTGCCTAGCAGTACATTTTGATTATTAGTGACGGAAATATTTGTGTTGGTTTGCGTGTGTGCGATGAAATTGACATATAAAGCTAATCCTTCCAAGCCTAGCTCTAGTTATTGCTCTGATACTTTGCAAACGTAGCTCCGGGACGCCTGTGTTTGCTATCACAGATTTCACATGACAGCAGACATCTTCTGCAGACTTTTGAAAAGCCGCAACCATTCTAATGCTATTTTATTTCCAGTCAAAGTGAAGAGAAATCCCCTTCTGACAGAGTCTGTACATCTTAGTCCCTGAACAAGAGTTGCAATACAGAAAAGGAAGGCACAATGGCAAGCCAGAAAAGCTTGGGAGACTGAGCACTTTCCAAGAACCCAGCAAATGAACCAGTCTGAAAGGTCCTCCCTTTGCATTTGAATATGTAAAACAGAGCTGATTCTTCAACGCGAAGACAATTGCCATTCCATACAGGTAGGTGGACGTGGGAGACCCTGTGCTTCAATTACATTTGCAAGCTATTTTCAACTCTTGCATTTGATGGCTTCATAGTCAGTATGGAATATTCTTGTATTAAATTTTGTAGCCAGCGATGAAGGCAGGATACCAACCACTTCATATCATGCCTGCCTAGTCGATGACGACTGACCGGCAAGGAACATTTCATTTGCGTTAATGAGGATGCCGTATCAAAGGTCTAGTTTAAAAAAAAATCCTCTTGTGGCATTATGTGCAAAACAACCCCTTGATGCAGTACAGGTGGGTGTGTGTTTCCCTCCTGTTTTAAAAAACAGGATTTGCACTAGATGGGGGTATACGTTAAAGAATTAGTGGTGGCTAGGGCCGGATTAGTAACTCTGCAGTTATATGGGAAGTAAAAAAGCCCTATTTAAATCTAGGCCTGCCACTAGCAACTGGCTCATTCAGACACTCCCCACAGCCCTAAGGAGGAGGGGACTGGGAAGACTGGCTTGATGGGACAGACCATAAGGCATAGCAGGTAGGCTGGGAATCATTAGAAAAGGGACAGATAATAAGACAGAAAGTATCCTATTGCCTCTCTATAACTCCATGGTACACCCACACCTTGAATACTGCGTGCAGATGTGGTCGCCCCATCTCAAAAAAGATATATTGGACCTGGAAAAGGTTCAGAAAAGGGCAACAAACATGATTAGGGGTATAGAACGGCTTCCGTATGAGGAGAGATTAATAAGACTGGGACTTTTCATCTTGGAAAAGAGACGACTAAGAGGGGGATATGATAGAGGTCTATAAAATCATGACTGGTGTGGCGAAAGTAAATAAGGAAGTGTTATTTACTCCTTCTCATAACACAAGAAGTAGGGGTCACCAAATGAAATTAATAGGCAGCAGGTTTAAAACAAAGAAAATGAAGTATTTCTTCACACAATGCACAGTCAACCTGTGGAACTCTTTGCCAGAGGATGTGGTGAAGGCCAAGACTATAACAGTATTAAAAAAAGAACTAGGTAAATTCATGGAGGATAGGTCCATCAATGGCTATTAGCCAGGATGAGCAGGGATGGTGTCCCTAGCCTCTGTTTGCCAGAAGCTGGGAATGGGTGACAGAGGATGGATCACTTGATGATTACCTGATCTGTTCATTCCCTCTGGGGCACCTGGCACTGGCCACTGTCGGAAGACAGGACATTGGGCTAGATGGACCTTTGGTCTGACCCAATATGGCTGTTCTTATCAGCACCTCAGCACTTCCGCTGCAGCAGGGGCCGGACCTCTGGTTGGCCTTGAGATGGGCTAGTCTCTGTACTCCCTTTCCCTGCTGCTCAGCCACACTCTTACCCATGCTGGCCATCATGGAGTGTCTTCTACTGGTGCCAGTCACTGTAGTGTGCTGCTTTTCATGGGGAACACGAGAGGGATACAGGGAAACACCTAGGTGCAGAGGAACAAATGCAGTCAGGAGGAGCCAGGCAGTCCAGTTCTGCTCTCTTGTCCACTCTGATTTTCATTCATGTAACTCCATTGTTTTCTGTGGGCTTGTTCCTGAATTTCCAGTGGGAGCAAGAGTAGAATCCAGCCCTGCATTTCCTCCTCTGCGTACCCTGCTATGGAATAAAGCTTGCAGAAGGTGCTCTGAGAATGGCTCCTGGCACCACAGAGCCGGTGGCCGCTGAAACATCCACGCTATAGGAAACACAGAGGGCCAGAGGTGCCAAGTCACCTTCAGAGTTGACGCCTCCTAGTCACGGACATTTCAGAGGTGAGCAAGAGTCAAGCCGCTGCTAACACCCTCAAACTTTGGGCTATTAAAAACCTGGAATTAAATGTGGCTGCTTGAGTGCATTTCCAGCAATTTTTTGCAAACCAGTTCCTCCCTCCCCCCCGCCCATATGCAAACACTAATTGATGCATGGAGTTCTATTTCCTCACATGTGAAAGGACTTAGGTATCTAATTGCATTTGCCACTTGCACCAAAAATGTGCATAAAAAATTCCAGGTATAAAAAAAATCTCTGTATTCAAAATTGCCAATGCAGGTTTAGACACTGGGTTGGATCCCATTTGAAATTTTAGCCTAATCATCAACTCATTGGTAGCAGTTTGTTCTGTTGCAAGTCCCTGCAAGAATTTTTAACACCTTGCCACTATTAGCACCTTGCTGTTACTCGCATTTCAGAGACAAGAGCAGTGGAAAAACCACCTGTTAGAAAGGAGCATAGTAGCAGAGCACTGCAACATTTGTTAACCTTTTCTTGAAGTCGCAGAATTCGGAGAGGTGCCATCTGTCAGATCGCTCCAAAGCCACTCAGTCTTCGTTCAGTGCTTCGGGATTAAAAGGGAACAAAGAACTGGCCACCTTGGATTGCATTTCTTCCTTTGCAGATGACTTGTGTTATTCTGGAAAACTCATTGTAAAAAAAAATCCTGCCCTACTCCCTGCCCCCTGCCCCCATTCTGGACTTGATCGTAGGGGATTTGGGTGTTAGGAACTGATCGGTCCAAGGAAAAGGCACTTGTTTTAATGTGAAGACAATAACAATGCTGCATCGGCGCTAAGCAAGGGCGTGTGCCTGCAAAGAGCTGAGCACGGCCTGTTTGTGGCTGTGTGGCCTGGATGCCCGTTAGGAGGCGAGGATGCCCCAAACCTCAAAGTTTAAAATCAGTGGTAGATGAACAAAGGAGCTGGAGCCGCGTTGGTACCTAGACGGAAACACACTCAACGTGCCATGGAAGTCGGGCTTCACTAAAGCAGGCAGTGTCATGCAGTGCTTCCAGCAGGGCCGTGAGCACAGTGCGAGGACATCTTCACATTCTTTGTTAGCATTAGTCTAGCTGGAGACGGGGGAGTTTACGTCCCAGCGCCATCTTCTGTTTCTCGGCAGGAGGCCTGTTAACCACCCCCGGTTGCTCAGAGACATGCACAGGTTGCTGGATGCAGGGCCTGGACACGTGCGGTATGGGATCCGTCTTCGCATAGCCGTTCGTAAATCTGCTGATCGTTACTTGTCACACATCCCCGCTGCTTGGCCTCGCCTGTGAATCGATGTGCTCACATAAGGCGGAGGGC